TACTCTAAACTGTATAAATAATATAAAATTAAATTGAATTTATTAGCCAATCAGACAAACTTCTGCCTATGAATTTTCGGGTGTAATTAATTGGGTCCGGAAGCTCGAGTTACACGAATCTCGAAATTTTTGGACAACTAATCTACTAGATAATCTATGTATACCTTTTTACTAAACGAATCTCTCGTTCATTTCGTTCGTTTTGAAGACAATTTTTGTCTTGAAAAATTATTAGACTTTTCTAGATAATCAAACATCTAAATCATAATATTAAAAAAAAAAAAAAGAAAAAAAGTGAAAAACTATAAAATAAGCCATGAAAGGTAAGGATCATTTTTGGTATAATAGTAATGGCTTACTAATTTATAGCTCAAGCTTACTTTCATTAAGGTTTCGCTAAGTTTCGCTCTTTGCCATTTCCGATTCTAAGTTTCGTCTTTCATCGGAGGGAGTTTGAGTTTCGTCAGGGTTCTGTCTTTCGTCTTTCGTCGCTTTTAGGTTTTGCCTTTCGTCACTACACAGAAAATGCTTCGCCTGACAACTACATTACGACCGATAGCGAGATGCAGAATTCTAGTGTTAATTTTAAAAATGAATATGTCGATCGATTGACCCAAGCAATGGTTTGGAAGCCCGCTAATCCTGTAACAACTAATAATGGTATTATAAACTTTATAGAGTATAATTATCTTTTACCATAATATTATCTTAAATACACCGTTAATGTTTCATAATATATACATTTATTTAGTTCCATCTTTTATAAAACAAACCGGGTCCTTGAAACAAATATATCATACCTCTGATAAAACCCTAAATAGTCCACCAACACCATTTGATCTAACACTTGCATCTCTCATGTCGGCAGGTCTTCATATAGGACATTCAAAGTCTTTGTGGAATCCTAAAACTTCTCCATTCATTTTTGGTATTCGTCACGGTATCAGTATTATTAACCTTGATCATACTTTGATTTACTTGCGTCGTGCATGTAAAGTCACTCGAGAAATAAGTTATCGTGGTGGGATAATTCTATTCATTAATACACGTGGTGGTGGATTCGCACGAGCAACAATCAACGCTGCAAAACGTTGCAAACAATTTCAACTTACAACACGTTGGTTACCTGGTACCATAACTAATTCTCAACAAATTCTGGGCCATTTAATGCCAAAAGAACCTGATGAGATATTACCAAAAGTTTTTAAACCAGACTTAATAATCTTATTAAATCCATTGGAAAATACGATTGTATTGGAAGAAGCAAAACATGGCAATGTGCCTACAATTGGAATTATAGATACAGATTTTGATCCTCAGAAAGTTAGTTGGCCTATACCTGCTAATGACGATTCGGTAAGAGGTGTGGAATTAATTGCAGGTGTTCTAAGTATGGCTGCTAAGGATGGTCTTATACATAGACAACAAATGTTGGAAAAAATAGAATCACAGAGGATTAGAACTAGATCTACTATCATAAAAATTTCATCAAAAACAAATTAAAATTCATATAATCTGGGATCACACTAATAACTTATTTAATGCATTTAAAACTTATTATAAATAGCAATTTGATGTAAATTACTACAAACTCAAAAGGAAATTTAAATGATGTGAAATTAGAAATATAAAGTTAAGACTAAAGTTAGGTCCTATTAATGCTAACGTTAAAATGGATAAAATATAGTATAAGTGACACCTGCTTTAAATTAACTGATTATTTATTAAAGTGTCACCTACACTATATTTTGTCAGCGTTAGAGATCATTATTATCTTATCCAGCCAATCAGAGCCACAGAAAAATCAATCATCTGAAAAAACTTATTATGAACTTACTGTATAGACCAAAAAATTCGAATGGCGCCATTCGACAAGCCAAATTTTTTGATTTTTACCGATGTTCCCAAGACCTGATCCTAGAATTCTGAACCTAAATACTTTACTGATAGTTTTTCAGGGTACCGAAAATTCAATTGCGGTTTGCGGTTTGCGGTTTGCAAAAAAAGTAATTACTAATTTCCGATTTCTTTTGACATTTATCATTTTAAAATTTGATTGAATTTTTTAATATGCAACTCCTATTTCTGAAAATATATTACAAAATGATGAATATGCAACTTTTATTTCTATAAAAAATAATAAAATTTTTACAGTCAAAGATGTCGGAAATTAGTGATTACTTTTTTTTTTAATGGTCCTCAAATTTCACATAATTTGCAAACCGCAATAAATTATTACACAATTACAATCAGTTAAATTGTTACGGATAAACAATTGCAAAAACAATTAATTACAATTTTTATATAACGATAATAAATATAATAAGTATTTTTTGACTATTACGAACTGGCAAAAATTGACCAATTGTAGCTGCGCCACCAATCAATTAATACGTACGTTTACGTATTGGTTTCACCATAATTCAAATTATTACATTAAAAATTGTGGAACATATAAGAAAACGCCATTATTGCGACTGGCCATTGCAGGACATGTGATAAAAAATGTCATTGCTGCGAATGCAGTTATGTAAGTACGTTACGATATACGAACGTCTTACAGGATCTGTAAATACAAATAACGACAAGACTTCAGTTGTGGTAGTCGAGTCTTGTTCATAAACTTTTTGCTGTGGCGGTGGCGCTTACACATAGTCCGCAATTTGATGGCCGTCTTAGTTTGAGTCATTTATCATTTATTATCTGTTATGTACAAAAATCTTGTTACGTAACATGAATTAAAAGATTAAAAATAGTCTAACAAATTAGAGATGGGCAAGGTAATTACTTATTACGTAAAAAGTTAAATCACACTATGCGATAATTTAACATGTTATTAGTTGTAAGTATATATTATTAATAAATTGTCGCCCGATGTGATTTGATTTTTTACGTAATAAATAATTACCTTGCCCATCTCTATAACAAATGCACCTAAAAAAATCTGCGCACAATAAATTATAATTTTTTGATCGTAGATAACGATAATAATTGTTTGATTCACGTATACATAAATTTTTTTTTTATATAACCACATTTATCAATTTCTATTATAGTAATTACTTGAAAATTGTATAATTTGATTGGTTAATTCACGATAAATCAATGTGAGTCATTAAAAATCACTCGATGACTCACCCGGATATTATTTATAACGATAAGGACTAAAATTTTTTTTTTTGAAAAAAAGGAAAAACATAAAGTACTTTTTTCTTTTTAAGCCATGTCAGACGTTGAAACCGACCAACAAAACTTAAATGAGGAGAAAACAGAAGATGTATGTTTTTATTTTTTTTATCAACATATACATATATATATGTATATATAGTATTGACTAATTGACTAATTCAAACTACAATATATAGCTTCTGTTTGATCCGAGTTTGAAAAAAAAAAAAAAAAAACCTAAAGTAGTTTTCGAAGATCAAGTAGAAGCAAAAGAAGAAAAATCAGTCGAGAACGCAAATAATTCAGGTAGAATGGATTAATTAATATACCAGTTTTTTTTTTCTCGGGAAATTAGTCACCTAATAATGATATCATTTTCTACTCAATTAATGCCAGTTGAAGTCAATGAAAATGAAGAAAAGGCTGAAGATGATGATATGTCAATATTTACGGATATGAAGAAAAAAAAGAAAAAAAAGAAAGGAGTTACAGACGTAATATATTAACCATCATATTATATTTTTATATTTCTTAATATTTATTATGTTAATTGAATATGTGATTCCATTTTATTATTTTAGAATGAAAAAGTGGAAGAAGAAGTCCCTGTCGAATCAACCGAATTAGAACAACCTAAGAAAAAAAAGAAGAAAAAAATTGATTTTGCTGATTTTGAAAGGCAATTGAATGAAGAAGAAGCTCGTGGTCCAGATGATGATAGAGAAGACAACATATTTGTTCCAGAAGGCGAGCAGGTAGAAAAAGAAACAAAATTTGAGGAAACTTGGATAAAGTCTGATCGGGATTACACATATCAAGAAGTACGTATAATGAATTTTCTTGTTCACATCTAAAAATAAGAAATGGTTAATCAAGTTGCAATTATGTTTCAGCTTTTAGGAAGAGTGTTCCGAATTCTTCGGCAAAATAACCCTGAACTTGCAGGTGATAAGAAAAGATACACGATTGTTCCACCATCAGTCCATAGAGAAGGAAATAAAAAGACAATTTTCGCGAATGTTTCAGATATTTGCAAGAGGTAAGAAAAGTTATAGGTCGATGAAACTATGTTATTCAATTATATTGATGTACAATTTGGGTACTTCTCATAATTACAGAATGCATAGGCAACCGGAACATGTCATTCAATTCTTGTTTGCTGAGTTGGGAACAAGCGGTTCGATTGACGGTTCACAACGACTAGTTATTAGAGGCCGTTTCGTACAAAAACAGATAGAGAACGTTTTACGTCGGTATATAGGTAAGGACTGATTTTTACTAATTGATCAGCAAATATATCTTTCAGTAAAAACTAATGACGATTTCTTGTAGTTGAATACGTTACATGTAAAACTTGCAAGTCACCAGACACGATCCTAACCAAAGAAAATCGTATTTTTTTTCAACAATGTGAAAGTTGTGGGTCTACAAGATCTGTGTCTGCAATAAAGACAGGTAAATTTTTGTGTTTTTTTTTTTCCCTGTTGCAAAAATATAACCATTTTTACAAATAATAAACAGGTTTCAAGGCACAAACTGAGAAGAGAGCAGCTCAAAGAAGGGCAGCTGTGCAATAAAGCAGTGACTGTAGTCGATTAAACATTTATAGCCATAGTCGAGTCGATAATTTTGATACGGCTTAGTCGGCCATTACCTCAAATTAAACTGTCGAATTTTTGAACTATCATCCGGAAATTTCTACTGAACCATATTCGTATTTTATTTTGTGTTGATTTATTAACTACACTTCGAAAATTTCCAGTTAATTTGAGGTAAATCTAGATCTTGCACTCTGTGGGCACCTTTATATCTCGCGGGTCTTATATACACTAATTTTATGGTTAATAGTTTTTACACCTATTATTTAAAAGAATTGGCACGTGTAACATTTTTTGTATTGTTTTAATAAATAAAAAAACGTTGCATAATATTTCTGAAATACAGAAATAAAAAATAGCATGAAACATTATTGCATAACGTTTTGAATAAGGTTCTGCATGTGCTCATGCCGGGCACTAATGCCTATGTCATGCCTAAGAAGTTGCCCGGCATTTGTATAGTAGTGCCTGGCACTTTAGGTGTCTAGTACTTTTAAACCAAAAACGAAATCAGGCACAAAAATGCCAGGCATTTTTAAATCAAACAAAAATGCTTGTCTCATGCCTAGTAATACAAATCGAAATCGAATTAATCGACTAAATCATCAAAAAAAAAACGATTATGATTAATGATTAGTAATTTTCGATTTCTTATATTTTTAACTTTTTTAAAAAAAAATCTAGTGAACATACATTATATAGGGTCATGGTGATAATAAATGGAACAATAGAGCAAATAGGTGGGCAAAAAAGAGGTCAAAATAAATAGATTAAATAGAATAGTAAAGAAAACACCTTAAGAGACTAGCATTTTAATTTGTTGAAAAGAACACAGTTGAACAAATGAATAAAGGGTGAATAATAGGTAAATAACAGAAAAAAATCTGTCATTATTCTACTTATATTCATCAAATAATGGTAACATAATAGCAGAATAACAGTAAAATAATAGAAGGTTTGTCAATATAAGTAACATAATAGTAATATAATAGCAAAATAATAGAACAGTTTTATTATTTTATTTTTAATTACAAAAACTAAAAGTAAAATAATAGAATTGTTCTATTATTTTGCTATTATATTACTATTATATTACTCATATCAACAAACTTCTTGTTATTTTATTGTTATTTTTACTGTTATGTTGTTGTTATGTTATCATTATTTGACAGATATAAGGTAGAATAATAGTTTTTTTTTTTGTTATTTATCTATTATTTATTTTTTATTCATTCATTTGGCCTATATTCAAAGTTATAAAGGATTTTATAAAAAATTTATTAAAAAAATTTTAGATTTTTAAACAGAAACTGAATAGGATTTTTTATCAATAATAAAAAAGTTAGAATCAGGTAAAAGATAGAAATATTTAATTAGATATATTTATAGAAAAAGATTAAAAATCAAAGTAAAAATAAATATACAAATTAAAAAAAGAATATACAAATAGAAATTTTAGCAGTATTAAAATCTTTAATACAATGAAGACTTGATTTTTATAAAAACTTAGTTTGTTTACTTTGTAATAAGAAAAAAAAAATTAAGAACAATTAGTATTATGTAAGTATTATAAAAATATTTGAAAGAAAATTAAAAACATATTGATAAATTTTATATAGTCAAAATTTTTAAGTGAAACTTAGATAGTTACAAGTAAAAAATAATTTAAAGAGATTTTTTGATAACTAAACAAGAAAAATAAAAAATAAAAATAAAAATAATTAAATATTTAGTCTAAAAAAACAATTGAATAAATACAAATTATATTAAAGTTACTTAAAAAAATAAAAGAATTTTTAGTTATAATAACTAAGGCTATACAAATTTAATATCTTGGTTTTCATAATATGAAATTTTTAATTAAATCCAGCTGATCAGTTTTTTTTAATTTTTTCATATATAAATTTTATAAAATGTTTGAATATATATATATATATTTTTTTTATTAAGGTGATCTCTTTGGTCTTTTGATTTTTATTAATGATTTTTTGATAATATTATTTAATAAACTATTACAAAAAAGTATACAATTAGCTATATATGTAACTTTTCTATATTACCTATTTAAGAAGTTCATATGAAGGTTTTCTATTAATTGCTGTACCTAATACCTTTGCTTGGATATTCTATTTTAAACTTTCTGAACCTGCAACCTGTCTTAACATTATTAGATTATATCCAGATATCTAGTTTATTATCTCAATCTTAGAACTATTTTATCTTTAAGATAAATTCTTTAGAGCTTTTTGTACTTATTTTTATAGCTGACCTAGGTATTACTATAGTAAAACTAATACTTACAGTTAGAATTATATTATTTAATCACTATACTCTTATAGAGTTTATTCAAATATTAGTATCTACTTTACAGTATAACCCAGTATTTTAGTATGCTCCTGCTTTTTTATCTGCCTTTTTATCAGACTTCCAATTCAGATAGCCTGTGTAGGACTATAATTAGTTTATCAGTATATTAGATCAGCCTAATATTTTTTTTCTCTGATTTGTTTGGCAGCCTAGTTGGTAGTACCTTCAAGACTTCTAGCTCAGAGATTCTTATCTGTTTGCATATTATAACTAGGTAATATGATCTTGGTATTTGTTTTCTTAGACTAGCCTTTACAGTAGACTGTTAAAAATCCAGCTATCTTACTATTCAAGTCTTTTTAAATAGACTTTTTTGTTACCTAATTTTAACAGATTTATATAGTTACAAGAACTTATTTAGTGTTTGTACTGCCTAATTGTCAGTTTGCATTTCTTCAAGTAACATCATATTTATACAAATGCTCTATTACCTATTAGTTATGCTGGTGCAATTACTATTACAGATATTCTAATTAAATTATTGATAACAGTTGCTGTAATATAAATATTATATAAATGATTATCTAAATTTTTACTATCAATAGGATTTGAACACTGAACCTACTACTTAATATCAACAACCTAACTACTTTATTAGATTATTATACTTTTATTATATTGATTTCTGGTATATTTAATATAATAATTAATAAACTAATTATAAGATAAAAATAATTAGAATTTAACTTAAAACATTATAACAATTAAATATATATTAGTATTTAAGAATTTGGTTCTAAAAGAAATAAAAATAATAGAACATATACAAATTACAAGTAATATAACACATTTTATACTTTATGTTAAACAAATGATCATTAAAAAATAATATAAGAATGAATAAATAAAAATAAAAATACAATATTTGTATTAAAGAATTTTAGCTTAAAGCTACAAAATAGGTAGGTGTTAAAGCTGATACTAATTTTGACTAATATTAAAGTTTATATAATGATTAGCTAATAGTAAATTATGCTTAGAAAATTCAAAACAAACATCAAATTTCTTTTATAATTTTATTATTCATTACACAATTTGACATCTAAATTTAAATATAAATTTTTTTTAATTATAAGTTAAATAATTAATGCATCTAAATTTTATATATATAATTTATCTAAATTTTATTTATAAAATTTAGATATATTAATTATTTAACTTATAATCAAAAATTATATATATACAAATCATGTAACTATTACTTATTTTAGAAGTTTTTCTAAAGCTCTCTGCTTAGATGTTTTATTTTAAATTCTCTAAATCTGCAACTTATATTAATTTTATTGAATAATGTTCAGATTTTTGTCTTAATCTTAAAATTATTTTATTTTTATAATAACTTTCTGAGCCTTTTTGATATTTATTTTAAGCTAATCTAGTATTGCTATAACTAAGCTAATACTTGCAGTTAGAACTAACTATTAAACCATTGCGCCTTTATAAAGTTTATTCAAACCCTAGTACTACATTACAGCATATCTCTAATACTTTAGTATATACTGCTTTTGTTTTCAGATTTTTAATTCAGATAGTTTAGTAAAACTGTAAATGACTCTTAATATATTAAGTCAGTCTAATATTTTTGATATTTGGTCTGATTCTAATAGTCAAGTTGGTGATACCTCTCATTTGAGGCTTTTGCATATTTGATTTCTTTATATTAGTATTTATTCCTTAAGTCTAGCCTTTACAGTAATATTATCAAAAATTCATGCTACCTCTCTGTTTGAGTTTTTCCAAATGGGTTTCTTGTTCACCAATTTCTAAGATTTACATAATTACAAGAACTTATCTTGGGTTTGCACTACTTGATGTTGGTTTGCATTCTCTTATATAACCAGTTACACAGATGCCTCATATATAATGCACAAAACTGTCAATAGTATTTGTTAATATATTTAAATATATCAAAAATTAATATAATAATTTCAAATACAATACAACAGTATTTTTATTTTATTTAATAAGATATAATACAAACATAGCTACAAAAAATATACAATAAACTTATCAATCACCAAAATTTTTTTTAATATTACAATACAAGAATACATCTTTATAGCACTTATTCAACCAATATAAGAACATACAGAATGCAACCAAATGACAACTAATATAACAATCAAATTACTTATACAGATATCACAAAATATACATAATCAGTTCTGAAAACAATATTACTCAAAATTAACTAAGTAGAAAAAACAAACCAATATAATATTTCAACCTACTGATAATCTACAAATTAATACAAATACAACTATTCTAACTCTACATATACTCAACAAAAATATACATTTAATTGTAACTGTGAACTTCCAGATCAATAATATATTGATGATTTTATAATACTATTATATGCTCACCCTTAGGCAAAGCTAATAAAAAAATATCCATATGGATAATTGAATGGATTAAATATAATACTCCGACTAGTAATATTTTAAGTTACCAAACCTAAGTGAGTAACGTATATTCAGAGGGATCTGGGGGTGGATAATCTGGACATGGAAAATAACGTGGGGGCTACTATTATTTAGAATAGGATTTTGTCTTACTAAATTAGATTATATTAACACATAATAGTTAAAGGATACGTACAATATTTATTCCTTTTTCTTACGATGCTTCTGATTCATCACCTATTTCAAAACTTTCGTCTACTCTAGAATACTTCCAACTAAACCAACAATTGAACCGTTTAACACATACAAAAGTTGACTTCAATGAACATCTTTAGAGAAAAACGAAACATCCCTTTGTCAGTCCTTTGGTCCAGTCCAAACACCATGGAGAATGGATGAATCAATGGTTTTTCAAATTGACACCATTTGGTATTTTCTTGTTTTGTTAGCATAACAGGTGTAGAATAAAAATAACCAATGCAATTTTAGGTGGATCTTCATTTGGTGGGGATATGACAGAAGTGGGAAATGTTGGAGATTTTGATACGAATGAATTGATGAATAGAATTGTAATAAATGTGTTGACCTAGTTAAGTCAAGGACACGAAAAAAGAGTTCATATCCATTCCTATAAGATTCACAAGAATATTTAATCTCGTTATATTTTTATCGATTTATATATTAATCTGAATACCTTTTATCCACCCGTGCGTAATTAAACTTAATGGAATGCGTTGTACCTCTTCGTCCACATGTATGCCAAGGTCTGGACCACAGGCGATATCACGACGATAAACGATTACAAATAATAATCGGGATCGTATTGCTACCAATGTAATAAGGTCTATAAGGTAATTGGATGTGAGTAAATGGCGGTCATATTAAAAATTGTTTATTAGAGCAAAATAAACGAAAAAGAGAAAAAGAGATGAAAAATCGAAATACATACCAAAAATAGGTGAGTTCAATATGTTGAGAGATACGGGTCCGGATGGGATAAATTTTGATTGTCCAACATCGCTTTCAATATAAGCAACTTTAGGACAACTAATATAGTAAGAAATTTAAAAAAATTAAAATTTGCTGACACACTTGTTATACAAATTCAGCATATTGTTAAGCAAATATCTAGCAAAAGTTGATTTTTCAAAGTTTCGATGTCCACAAATAATGGCACATCCAATATTAATTTAAAAGTCATTATTATCGAATTAAACCGATCAAGTTATAATGTTTAAAGCACATACTATAATTAACTACATAAATAGCGAGTTGATTCGATGCATTCAGCCAAGAATCAGAAATTAATAAATTTCTTTTTATCAAAATGGGTTCATCACTTTGATTATTCCTGGATGAATTTACGTGCTCTGATGTATTGTGGTTTGTTCAGTTTCTATAATAAGAGAGTAATTTGAATTTCATTGAATTTAAACTATTAGAATTTTAATTAATGGGCATAATAAATAAATATACCTTTGAAGAAATAAAAATCCGTTTCCAAGAGGATCAATAAAAAAAGCGGCTTTTTAAAAAAATAAAAATAAAGAAATATGCACTGCTAATTATCTATTGACGTTTTCTGAGTTTGTGATAGTATGTGTATTAAGAGTTTTCATTTTTTTTAACAATTATCACACCCTGTATTCACTGAATCTATGCATCCTTTAACCGTTTAATACAGATCCTTTTACTAACATTGGCTTCAAATAAATTGGTTGATTTTTGATGTATAGCAAAAAAATTTTCTTTGACATTTAGATGTGAAAAAAAGTTCATTTTTTCAGATTATTTACGTATTATTATACAGAAATCTCAATATTAATCGTTGAAACTCCGTACATAACTGATCTTAGTGGTCATACTAGGTTCGTGGGGTTTCTCTTGGAAGTACTGATATAATAGTTAAAACTACAGTTTTTGTTAATATTAGCTAATAATATTCTATATATTATTAAAAATACTCAAATTAAGCCAAATTTTATGCAAGCAAATATAAATTATGCTAAATTCTGCTGCTAGCATAATAATGCTAACAAACTTGAATTATGCTAAATTATGCTAA